CTAGGAATGTCGACTAGCAAGATTGGACAAAAACAGGATGGAATTTAGACTAGTGTTTAGGGGGAACCTTCCCAATCAAATCGCTACACAGACTTCAAATTATGTCAGCTGATCTCAGTTACAGTAGGCTTAGTTAAATACATGTAATAGGACGAAAAAGCTTACTAGTAGGCCAGAAAATCTGCGATGACAAAATTAGATACCTGAAGAATATCTTGCCTCTTGATAACTAACCACCTACATTTATAGATAAATTCATAAGAAATAGAGATAAAAATAGTAGTAGTAGTAGTAGTAGTAGTAGTAGTAGTAGTAGTAGTAGTAGTAGTAGTAGTAGTAGTAGTAGTAGTAGTAGTAGTAGTAGTAGTAGTAGTAGTAGTAGTAGTAGTAGTAGTAGTAGTAGTAGTAGAAACAGCAGTAACACAGGTGCCTTTAATAATAATTCTACTACTAATGGTAATAATGGTGACAGGGTTGAAAGAGTATTCAAAGCCTCTACTGTGTTACCATGTAATGAAAGCACCTCAAATGCGTTACGAAAACTTCTCAATAAGGCAGGGATTAAAGTGTGACTACGGCCAACAAACTCGCTCAGAAATAGGCTTTGTAGATTACTGATGCAATTAGCAAAATAATTTGGTTTATCAAATCCCTTGAAATGATTGCGAGGTTAAATAGATAAGTCACAGTAGTCGACAAAGGTCAATTAGAATAACAGAGCACAAAAACTTAACTAAATCGAAACTAGTAGATCATAATAAGATAAGAAACTTAGAAAAATCTTCCGCTATAGCTCTGCATGCAATCATACAGTAAGATCGGATACAGTGATAGTATTGAAACCTCATTTATTTGGGTGGAGAGAGGGGTGGGTAACTGAATCTTTGTTTATTGAGTCAGACTAAAATTGAATTACAATCTACCATAGTGCCCAACTTTTACTTCTATACTATTCAGCTCCAGCTTGTAATCGATTCTGTTATGTGGTCAAAGTAACTATGTGAAACACTTTGGTATTCCAATGAACAAGTTACCAAAATACTAGTACAGCTCAAAATACATTTGCCAGTATACATTTACTCTTTATTTTTACCTAATAAAACGGGTTTCTCAGGCACAAACAGTATTAATGTTATGACATTTTTATGGTTCATTTAAACATCAAATTATTGGTTACACCAGTCCTTACCCGTATACATCTTAAGTATTTCCTCATAGTCACCGTAGACACAACCTAACATTTACCCTATGACTTTATTCTTTCGCTTAAACAATAAACTTGCCAGTTAGTCTGATCTATAGACTCCGTCAGTCACACCAGACATATCTAAACACCGGATGGTCAATTCTCTCGCTTGAGGTCAGCAGTGTATCCGAAAAAACTAAGATTATAGATTTTTGCAGATCAATCTGAGTGGTTTTCTAACTAGTCGAGTTGTTTGTTTTACTAGTTCATAACAGTTTTTATGTCAGCGATAACATTTTATGATCTCAGCAGAGTAGTTTCCAGTGGAAACCCTGTTGAAACCATAACTGAACAGTCGACAAACAACTCAGATACCAGAAATGTCAACCTGGACCGTGAAAATTAATTTTTCTTTCTGCAAACTGATCATCCTACCATCACTATATAGTATTATATTATTATGAAGTCAGCTCTTATTCAAATTATTATTATTAGTATTAGTCCCTTGGGTTCCTAATGGAACATAAGGCTTCAGTAGCACGTCTCCAGTGAACTCTGTTCTCTGAAATCTTTTCAACATGGCTCCACAACAGCCCACAAGCTCTCATTTCCTCCTCACACGATCTCCTCCATGTCACCCTCGGCACTGACGCCCAACTCGTCGTTTCGCATCTGGATTCCACTCGATGGCCTGGCACATGATGTCCCAATCGGTCTTCTCAGTGTATGCCCAATCCAATCCATCTCCACCTCCTTCCCATGCATATTTGTTGAGTGATAGGTTCTTGCTTCGTTGGTTTGTTGGCGAGCCAGAGTTCCTTGTTGCTTATTCTTGTTATTCTGGCCATCTGATCTTCAGTAACGAGCCAGCATAGGCAGTTGTTGATGAATGTCTGTAGTTTGTTGGAAATCCCTTTCGTAACGCGCCAACTCTCTGAACCATACAGGAGCACTGATTGGATATTGGTGTTGAAAATTCGGATGTTGTTCCACATGCTGAGTGGAGTGCAGTAGATCTCCACACTGGTTTCAGGCTAGTGAACGCCGGTCTTGGTGTCTTTCCGATTCTGACTTTGACATCCTCGTCTGTACCTGTGCCGCCTGTAGTTGAAACAGTGCTACCTAAATGGCTGAAGGAGGCTGCTTACTTTAAGTTTCTCCCACTGATGATGATTGGAGTTTGTTGTTGTTGTTGGTAGTGGTGGTGCGGTATCTTCATCATCTATGTCTTCTATACATTCACTTGAATGGTGTCCCATCTTCGCTGCCCTGCCCCTTCTGCCAACTTGTTGGTTTTCGTCTGTAGATCTTCAAGTTTATGTAACATCAGACACAAGTCATTAGCGAAATCCAGATCTTCCAGGTTCTTTTCCACAGTCATGCCAGCGTATCCCCCTCTTCTTGCTCCTCACTGTTTGCTGCATGATTCAGTCCAGTCGACCATAATCAGGAGTATCATGGGGGATAGTAGGCAACCGTGTTTCACTCCCTCCTGTCTTCACTTCACCTCAGTGGCATCATTGAGCTTCCCACTGTGAATTACTTGGTATGTGGCGTCTTCATATACTTGTTGAATGAGGCTGATAAAGGTTTGCGGTATTCCGTAGTATTGAAGCAGTTTTCAAATTACCTCTCGGTCGACGCTGTCAAAGGCCTTCTCAAAGTCGATAAAGTTGAGGTGTAGAGTTGACTGCCATTCTTTACTCTGTTGTATGATGATGCGTGGTGTGGCGTTGCAATTTGGTCTGCACATGATTTGTACTTCCTGAAGCCTGCTTATTTAAATTATACATAAATATAATCTTTTTCCTCTTCTCTGGTTTTATATTTATGAATAATTTTTTATATTTACTTTCTACTAAAAAATTGTTCTGTTTTTATGCTTCAAGCAATGACAGCCTTTCTCCCATATCCTTTTTTAGATCAGTCCATATGAGGTGAATATTACAGTTCTCCTCAATTATCTAACAGCATATTTAAAAATTTACAACCAATAGTTGAAAGCCAATATTTTGCTTAACACAAACGCATTTCTCAGTCACAGGTTTATTGTCTGCTGTAATAGCCTTACTATTTTTACTACAGTAATTTGAGTTTGAAATCACTCACTACAATATTTGTTAGCTTAGTAAATCTCTTGACATTAGGCAGCTTTACGCGTTTGCATGCTTTCCATAGTCCTGGTTAAAATTCATGACAGTTAGGTAATGTTTAAACACCACTTTATGCAGGATTTTATTCGCTGTCGAAGCGAAAGAATAAAGAGACACTCAAGTAATGCATCATGCCTGGAAGTCCAGCACACCACCCCCATATATATATATATATATATATATATATATATATATATATATATATATATATATATATATATATATAGGCAGCACTGTTTCAACTACAGGCGGCACAGGTACAGACGAGGATGTCAAAGTCAGAATCGGAAAGACACCAAGACCGGCGTTCACTAGCCTGAAACCAGTGTGGAGATCTACTGCACTCCACTCAGCATGTGGAACAACATCCGAATTTTCAACACCAATATCCAATCAGTGCTCCTGTATGGTTCAGAGAGTTGGCGCGTTACGAAAGGGATTTCCAACAAACTACAGACATTCATCAACAACTGCCTATGCTGGCTCGTTACTGAAGATCAGATGGCCAGAATAACAAGAATAAGCAACAAGGAACTCTGGCTCGCCAACGAAACCAACGAAGCAAGAACCTATCACTCAACAAATATGCATGGGAAGGAGGTGGAGATGGATTGGATTGGGCATACACTGAGAAGACCGATTGGGACATCATGTGCCAGGCCATCGAGTGGAATCCAGATGCGAAACGACGAGTTGGGCGTCAGTGCCGAGGGTGACATGGAGGAGATCGTGTGAGGAGGAAATGAGAGCTTGTGGGCTGTTGTGGAGCCATGTTGAAAAGATTTCAGAGAACAGAGTTCACTGGAGACGTGCTACTGAAGCCTTATGTTCCATTAGGAACCCAATGGACAAATAATAAATTATATATATAAATGTATATATATATATATATATATATATATACATATACATATATATATATATATACTATTAAGAGTTACTCATGTGTAACAGTGATCTACCAAAGGTTTGTATTTAGGTGCTTAACCTGGCATGACTTTACTCAAAAAAATATGTTTATCATTATTTGTTCTTTGGGTTCCTTTTGGAACATAGGACTTCAGTAGTGCGTCATCATTTCACTCCCTTCTCTGCAGTCTTTTCAGTTTGGCTTCACTACAACCTAGAAGCTTACATTTCTTCCTCACACGATCTCCTCGATGTCACCCTTGGCTTGGACGCCCAGCTAGTCGTTTCTTCTTTGGGTTCCACACGAGGGCGAGGCGGGTAATGTCCTCGGATGTCCTTCTCAGTGTATGCCTAAGAAAAATAAGTATTCACTCAAAATAATTGTCTTCTCAACGCTTACACTGAATATTTGATGAAAGAATTACTAACAGTGACTAAAAGCTGACAAATGTTCTAAATGCTGTGCACAATTCAAAAGAAGGTAGTTTTGAAAGAACTATCTTACGAAAAATAACCACCTGCATGTAATCTGCCCATTAAGAAAAATGTACTTTCATGTCACCTGAAAATTCATTAAGATAGTTTTCAGTTAAGGCACACTATAGTCAATAGGTTTTTGCGTGTCCATTGGTGCATTATATACATTTATATCTCACTGGCTTTGCACTCCTAGCTACATATAGACATTTTTAACAATTCATTAGCGCTGAATATAGTTATTGCCTGAATACATGAGAGAAAAATACACTTACTTCTTGTGGTGGTACATCAAATGTCACTGTCCTCAGATCCACTTTACGCATTCTATCCATACAGGGTACAACAAAAAATAATCCAGGACCTTTAGCACCTCCAGGAAGAATTCGACCCAAACGGAATATAACTGCTCTTTCATACTCAGCAATAACCTTAATTGGGAAAGCAAAACATAGGGTTTTATTGTTTTATTATTACAAACTGATGAGTAATATTGAAAATATCAAAAATAATAAGTAATATTAAAAAGGAATTAACTCCCAATCAAGAAGGCCTTAAAAAGTATGTTCGTATTCATTGGTAAATGAAAATATCACATCCAGATATTAGGTAGCAAGCTTATTAAAACTATTCTTTCAACTGAATAATTGCCAAATGTTTCTAAACATTTTGTTTATCCCTTAGGTTCCTAATGGAACATAGAGCTTCAGTAGCCCGTCACCATTTCACTCCATTCTCTGCAGTCTTCTTAACCTATCTCCACGACTGCCCATAAACTTTCATTTCTTCTTCACACTATCTCCTCCATGTCACCCTTGGCTCGGACGCCCAACTCGTCTTTTTTCACTTGATGGCCTGGTCTGGCACATAATGTCCACAAATGATCTCCTCAGTGTATGTCCGATCCAATCCATGTCCTTTTCTTCTGCATATTTGTTGGGTGAAGTGTTCTTGGTTGGTTCGTCGCCAGCCAAACTTTATTGTTGCTTATTCTTTCTGGCCATCTGATCTTCAGTATCGAGCCAGCGTAGGAGGAAGCTGTTGATGATGTCTGTCTGCAGGTCGTTGCAAATACTTTTCGTAACACGCCAAGTTTCTCAATCATCACATAGAAGGATTGACTTACTTGATCGAATTAGTGTTGAAAATCTGGATCTTGTTCTTTATGCTGAGTGCATTGTAGTGCAATGCAGTAGATCTCCACACTAATTTCAGATTATTTAAGGTCTATCTTGCTTTTCCGATCCTGAATTTGACGTCTTCTTCTGTGCCGCCATCTGTAGTTAAAACGATGCTGCCCAAGTAGGTGAAAGAGATTACTTTCTTTAGCTTTTGCCCGTTGACGGTGACTAGTGAAGCAACACTCTAGCAGGTTCGATGTTCACCATCAGTCGACTGCTTTCAGTGTAAAAACTAACACTGATCAAGGAATTCACAGAATATTTTGTACAAACAGTGTATAGCAGGACATATTTCAAGCAATCACTGGTTATACTCAATATTCATAAGGATTTCATATCACCTCATAATTTTGAATAAAAACTTTTTGTCAGACAGTTTTTGATAGAGCCTTTATTTGAGTAGTCTATTGCTGGTATCTCTTGATATTAATCAGCAACACACAATGTAGACGACCGGAATAATGGGCAGAACACTCCGAGGAACAGTGCAGTCGGACTCCAGCTACTATTGCTTTGCCCACTATCCATTCAGATCCTAAATGAAACATTGAGGCAGACCCCCCAGCACTACCAGAACTGGAGAAAGCGGCAGGTCGCTTGCAAAGAGAAAGGGTAGCAAGACCAGACGGACTAGTTCCTGAGTGATATTAGTCAGGCTAACTAAATCACTTACTTGTGTATGGGATTCAAACATGATCTTCAGTCTTCAAAAAAGACGAGAATTCCCCTTGTGATAACCACATAGGAATCAGCCTGATGAAAATAGTGTCTCAGATTCTAGGTTCTGTAATCACTAGATACCTGAATGAAGCTCATGAAGAGCAAGTCGGAGAAAACCAAGGGGGCCTCAGACACTCTTATAGGTTCTGAAACACAGCCATGATTAAGGAGGCCCGAAAATAGCTGCATTCCTTAACCTGAAGGTGGCATTCTACTCAACCGTTCGGGAAGTCGTATGACAGTCTCTTACTGGAAAAGTTACCGAGTAAGTGTGTCACCCAGTTGGACCCTATGGTGAGATATCTGGTGAGTTGTGTACGTCGGGTGGTGTCCGTCAAGGATATTAACTCTCTCTATTCTTATTCATTTTTATCACAGATGTTCTTATGGAGATCTCCATCTCACTATCTGACCACACTAAGATTGACCTGATCACAAGAGAATTTTAGATAGACTTAGAATACGTAGATGACATAGTCCTGTTAGGCGAAGACAATGACAAGATACATAGTCTTCTCTTCACCTAAATGCAGATCGTTGCCCCAGGACTGGTCTTCAATGATACCCAACTAACAACAGAGATTGAAGTGGTTGGAGATTCTAGGTGATACGGCTCAAAATCGATGTCAGTGGCGAAGATGCATACAAGCCTTATCCTCACCTTAGTCGCGATGCTTAGTCTCATCATCTCCTCATTCTTCCTTCCTCTACTTTACTACTTTCTACTTCTACTTCCTTTGACCAACTTGTCATTCTTTCTCCAGCTTCCATATTAATGAGTTGTTACTTCATGGCCTGATATGAAGTGTGGCAACGTGGATCATTATGCAATAATGCCTGGCCGTATGTTGCTCTTGATGATGATGATGATCATGGAAACAGTTCAGAACAGTAGACAATCATACTCAACTCTGATCATCACCCATTATAATCCTCTTACTCCTTCCGTCAGAAGCAATTACATCATGGATGTGTAAGAAATTCTTCTGAATTAAAGTAGCATATAACAGCGCGACTTCGCTATGGTGATTAATCACTCTCTGCTGCTGTGTGAAGTTGCACCACCGGTCTCTGGCATGTAAGCTAAAAAGTGGTACTCTGCACTGAAAATACTACAATATACAAAGAGATGAGTTAACACCACTGACAAAATACCTTTTTCTTATAATGTTCGAATAGGATAACGACTACAAACATCAGTCTCTGCGAAAGCTTACATAGCAGTGATAATTTACATATCAGCGCTTCATTTTAGATACTTAGGAGATAGGATTTGGATAAGCATCGTAAATAAATGGTTGCCTTAGCATTCGAAAAGACATGTTCTACTCGTTTTTAGTCATAGGTCTATTAAATACCTAATAACATCTCATAAAGTAAAAAACATTCCCACTATTTTTTCTAGTTGGTATCCACCGCGGACTGACATGAGTTGGAGGAACATTGGAAACCTGGGAGCACTGGACAGCTGTTTCGTCCTAGTATGGGACTCCTCAGCAATGCGCACCCTTGAAGTTGCTACATATTGAACCCGTAACTTTCAGGCCCCGTGGCCAGCACGTTACCATTGAGTCACCGGGTCAGAAACCAACAGTCCATATTTCCAACTTCTGTCTGTTCACTAGATAGTACTACTGCCACTCAATGTCATCGTTTAACATTTGTTCTCATGGTTTCTGGGTTTGCCTCACTGGTCACGAAATCTCATTGGAACTTCGGTAATCAGCTCTCGAAGCTAGTTATCAGTGAGTACTTCAAAAAAATCCTTAAATCCCCACAAACTCCCCAAAATTAATTTCTTTTATTTAGTATTCATGTAAGCATAGATAAGATTGCTTCTGAACTCAATTTGTTTATTGTTAGCTAATTACATTCGATTATTGCCTCCTTTTTTCTCTAAATTTCCGTAATAATTCAGTCACATTTACGCTTACGTAAGATAAATTCATTGAACAGAACACGCGAATATTTGCATGCAATTACCTTTTTCTTTTGGAAAATATTTTCGATGAATAATTGAAATTCCTATTGATTTAGTTTTTCTTTCATAACAGTGAATAGTTTATTGAGAGTAATAAAATGAGGGATGATATTTTGAAGGTAGTTGGGTTGGGTCAAAAAAGTTGTTTCAAGTCTTGTCCAAATGACAATATATATGTTGTAACAAGATGATTAAAAAAAACTGATTGTCAGTGACGAACGACTGCACAATTTATCCTATCAATTGTTGAAGTAACTGACTATATCTTTTTATTTCAACAAGAAAGGTAATTAATTTTATTTCATTGAAAGGAGGACATTTCATCTACTAATTACCTGTTAACCTTAGAGACACTATTAGTAACTGGTTAGACTTCTTGACGGAGTAGACAGAAGTGTATGTAATATACAAGAATAAATAAGTTGTGATAATATTTCACGTTAGCAGTGAACAAACATATGCTTCAACAAGTAATCGATCATCTGACAGTTATTTCTCCCTTCAATTCAAAGTTAACAACTAACATATGGCTAAATTTGGAAGTCGTTAGCTTAATTATCACCTTCTTTTTATAAAAACTTGCCACTCTTCCCATTGTTTACTGCTATATGTATAGGAATTGGCAACCACTAGGCAACCAGTATGCTGAGAAATTAAGATTTGACAATCACAACCTTCACCCTTCTATAAACGAATCCATGTACACAGTTTAATTCTGCAGAAGCTTAATTGTGGTAAGCCCTCTAACGCCAACACTTAGTTACGTAAACTGGAATCTATAGCAGCATCACGATGATTACAGCAGCAGTAGAAGTATTATATTGGAAGAACAAAATAAGCATGAATATGACAGGTTTCCTTCCTCAAATATTTACCATCGTTAGGTAAGTATTACAACTATGAAGCTCAGCTGTAAGAAGTGAAGTTGTTACGAAAATGTGGTTATCAATGACACATTTCACCGAAGAAGGTATTCAGTAAGTAATACTTTTTCGCTATATGAAAACTTACGGACCTAATATTGGATTATAGAAAAGCGTATGATTTTAAATAGAAATCATAGTGATAGCTGCACAGTAAAAGCTATTCAACAATGAGAACAAGCCAACTCAGTTCATCACATTTAACCTGGATGCAAATAAAACAAAAACGAAGGCAACAACGATAACTTACTCTTGTTGTAAAGCATAAAGAGAATGGAAGTGTAATGAGAATCAGAAGATAGGATATCCCCAGCAATAGAAATCCAAAACAACCTAAATCTCCAGTAGCATCGGTAATCACTAAGGTGAAAAAAAATGTAATATAGATTTTATTTAAACAGTGAAATTACATACAACAAGAAATTATTTATCAATAGAATATTCTATTCTTAGAGTCATCACAGAAATAAGGTCAACAAAAATAACCAATTTACTCTTAATATTTATTTATTTTTCGCTTTTTCTCTCTTATCATATAGCCTAAAAGGTAGGAAGACAACAGCGAAAAATCAAGTTAGTTGTGGGTAAAAAAAAGGTATTGAATTTTTGAGGGAGTTGTGGAGATTTGGAAATATTTCAAGTTGTTATTCATCGTAGACTGACATCAGTTGGAAGAAAACTAGAAACTTGGGAGCACTGGACAGCCGTTTCGTCCTAGTATGGGACTCCCCAGATGTGCTCACCCGCGACCTTCAGGTTCCGCGGCCAGCGCGTTACTATTGAGCCACTGGGTCAGAATCCAATGCTTTATATTTCCAAATTCTGTTAGCTCACGATATAGCTCAACCGCTACCCAATGTCATCGTTGAGTATCTGTCCTAACGGCCACTAGGCTTTGACTCCACCAGTCACGACTTCTCATTGGAACTTCGGGAATACTTCTCGAAGCTAGTCACCTGAGAGCACCAGTTCAATTGAATTGTTGAGGGAGTTGTGGAGATTTGGAAATATTTCAGTGCTTCCAGGTTTCTTTTGTTCCTCCTCAGTCTATGATGAATAACAACTTGAAAAAAGGTGTTGTTCCCTGTAAAGAATAATGGTATGATTTTACATACAAACGAAACTAAAACTATAAACTAGTTTCATTTTTCAGTATATCAAGAAAGAAACATTTTCCAATATGAAAATAAAATTATTGATAAATAAATCAATCAATTATGTCCCTATTTATTTATTTATTTATTTACTTATTTATTTATTTAAAATCTATTAAATTAACAACAATGCTAGAATTAGATAAATAGGTCACTGAGGAGAATAAATAGAAATGAGAGATTAAGTTGAAACACTTAGTATTGTTTATTGTTTCATGATTGAATTTCTAAGAAAGAAAAAAAGAAACTTGAACAATTTATATACAAAGCATTTGTTGTCGATTCGGTGGATTTTTATTTCAACACCGCAATCCACTAATGAAGTTGCCTAACTTTAGTCATAAGAATTTGCTTTGTTTGAAATCAAATCATCATAGTTACAGATGAATAGAATATAATGACAATTTTAATCTTTCATAGTCAATACTTATTAAAAAAAGATGATAATACTAGTACCTGTTTGGTAGCTAATTTACTCATCAATTTGATTATCTGAAACAGTCATGGTTTTTATTATTTATTATTAGTCCCTTGGGTTCCTAATGGAACATAAAGCTTCACTAGCATGTCTCTAATGCCCTCTGTTCTCTGAAATCTTTTGAACATGGCTCCACAACAGCCCACAACCTCTCATTTCCTCCTCACACGATCTCCTCCATGACACCCTCGGCACCGACGTCCAACTCGTCGTTTCTCATCTGGATTCCACTCGATGGCCTGGCACATGATGTCCCAATCGGTCTTTTCAGTGCATGCCCAATCCAATCCATCTCCACCTCCTTCTGCATATTTGTTGAGTGATAGATTCTTGCTTCGTTGGTTCGTTGGCGAGCCAGAGTTCCTTATTGCTTATTCTTGTTATTCTGGCCATCTGATATTCAGTAACGAGCCAGCATAGGCAGTTGTTGATGAATGTCTGTAGTTTGTTGGAAATCCCTTTCGTAACGCGCCAACTCTCTGAACCATACAGGAGCACTGACTTGATTGACGTTGGTGTTGAAAATCCGGATGTTGTTCACACTTTAAGCTGAATGGAGTGCAGAAGATCTCCACACTGGTTTCAGGCTAATGAACTCCTGTCTTGGTGTCTTTCGGATTCTGACTTTGACATCCTCGTCTGTGCCACCTGTAGTTGAAACAGTGCTACCTAGATAAGTCAAGTTTCTCCCATTGATGGTGATTGGAGTTTGTTGTTGTTGTAGTTGTTGGTGCGGTATCTTCATCACCTCTGTTTTCTGTACATTCACTTGAATGGTGTCCCATCTTCGCTGCCCTGCCTCTTCTGCCAACTAGTTAGTTTTCGCCTGAAACAGTCATGGTTGAGTAGATTAGTATTCATATTGGATGATGATTGAAGGTGAAATGATGATTTCAACCTCAGCAGAATACAAACCAGGGGTTATCAGGGTTCCATTTCGATGCTTTACTAACTCAGCTATAAGGTCTGACTGCCAATCAGATTCTTACGTCACTTCAACTACTTAGGGTCAGTAGTCTGCTCTATTACCTCAGTTACAAGAATATCGAACTAGAAAGCCGGTGGTCACTGGTTCAAATATTACATTAGCTTAAATTTTTATCTCACATTTGATAATCACCCAGTATCAATTCAAGTCTGCCAAACTACGACTATCTCAGATGGTCAAAGTGATAATCATCATTATGCTTCTCTATCTAATTCAAGTAGATTTGAATTTGGATGAGAAGTTCTAACTGGGCAACCAGTGTGAATATGATCAAGCGATAGTAACGTGTCACTAATTCAAATAGTAGTAGGGCAAAATCCTTGGTGATTGAAGTAAAATGAAAAATCTGGTCAGGATTTGGGCCTCGTAGCTCAGTTGATAGAGCATCGGGTCGGAAAGCCGGTGGTTCCCGGTTGGAATTCGGCCGCTGTCCGAATTTTCAGTTCACTTTCAATCACTTTGCAGAGTTAAATAACTGGTGACGTTTACTACTTCAGTGGTCTCCGAATCACTCAGCAGGTTTCTGGAACCTTCATAAAGTAAGCCACTGGATACATTATAGCACAAGTTCCTTAGTCCCTAAATTTTCATCAACCTTCATTTTGGACAGCTATGAATGCATGAGAACACACTTTTAACTACGTATCATAAAATAAACGATGGAGTATGTGAACGGATTACGAAATTTCCTACTCTATTTATCCTTTAATGTGTCCTAAAGTGGTTTTAATCTCCGTAAAACATGTACATATGTGACTTGATGAATCATTACAACTAAGTGGTCACAAAAATTCGATTCTTCCTCGAAAACAAACAAGAAGCTTCCACCTTTGGTCCCTTAGATATGAAAATTTTCCTCTTATGTTGTAACTGACACCAAGCAAATACAGGCTGTCCCTAATTATTTCATACTATCTGTTCATATGTTGTATTCTCTTACAACAAAAGTCCGGGAAGATCTATCAAACATAACTTATCCTCCTTTGCTTTCACCTCCTGATACTAATGTTAAGCCTCTTACACCTTCATCAACTTCTCACTCCGCGACCATTGTCAAGATTGATTTAGTCTGGAAAGCCTCTATGAAGAGAATTTAAGATGCAACAGTATACGCTGGTGATGTTTACCAACACGTTTACATAAGAGCAATGAGACAGAAAATAATACTTAGAGTGAATAGTGTTCTCATCCAGCTTGAATGGAACGAATATCTGTAACTCTCCAAAGGAACCACATAAGCCAATCTGTGACAACCAAGATGTTGATTCAACAATTTTCTAGTGAAAATCTATCAAAAAATCACTTATTTACTCTAATAAGAGGATTTTTGAACCAGAATATGACTGTACCCAGTATTTTTATACAAGGACATGCTTATCAACGCATAAAACTTTGACTACTGTCTATCCGTAAGTAAACACTGTCAACAGATTTGCAGAAATTAAACTGAAAGCCATAGATATAAAGAGAAACTCTACCGTTCAGTCAGTTGATTTCAAGTCGCACTTCATTGTAGACTGTCAATTACTTTAGTAGCACCAGGTGGTACTTACATAGACAAGTGTTTTTAGCTTACTACTATCACGCTCCTAGTAATAAACGTTTCTGTTTTATAAATTAATGCTTCAACCTACAAAATTCATACAAACAACATTTTATAGTCAGGTAATGACTCTGGTAATAGCGCAAGCATTTTACAAGTAACCGATCAACAGAATCTCAAGATGTCTTCCAGTTCCAGTGCGAAAAGGAGACTCAAAGATAGTTTGTATTCCTTTCAATTTTTTATGGGTGTTTCTTCAACTCTAGTGGCATGCTTGCTGAAGAGGCATACGGTTGATCAAAAAGCATGATAAAAGGTAATAAACCTTTATAGTTCCTTAACCACTTGGTATACACGGGTGCTGAGGCCTACCGCAGTACAATGTTCAAACCTCCATAACCATCACAGAATTTAAATATCAGTAGTACAGATATAAGAAATGATACTTCACTGATATTTCAAACAATATAAATTGCAGACGAGGGATGTGGAGCATACCGATTACACTAGTGGAAATGTTACTTCAGCTAAAAATAAACTCAGCAGTAGACATATACTTGTCTCTGAAAAGTACTTTTTACAATGATAAAAATATTCTTGAAAGACACCAGTAAATTTTTAAAAAAAACGCGTGACTAACTCACTAACTACTTCATCATAATAAATAATTTGTCTAGAACAACAACAAAGCTCTATTGGCGTTAAATAATGGACTTGACTGTGGAGAGCAGTGGAATCAGAACACACATTTCGTCCTATTTGGAGCTCCTCAATTGGATGTACGTACGCCTTGAATTCCACTTCTAGCCACAACTCACTGAATTATAACAATAAATATTCAGGCGATCTCGACGCGTCTGCATAGCACCCATATGACAACAGAGGTCAACCAGTTCGATCTAGTATAACTACAGGAAATTACAAGTAAATCAATCAATAAAAAAGTATCAAATAATTCCTACCATCCATTCAAAAAACTTTCCGCTGACGCAGTTACTCCACTGGAGTAATAAACGACAAGAAGGATTCATCAGTTGATAAAACCAACAGTCACCGAATATCTTGCCTTTCAAATAGTATGTTAGACAATTTTTTATGCCCTATCTCTATAGTAATATAACTAAACAAGGTAGAATATTTCCAGACCAAGAAGTCAATTAGCTCTCTCTGTACTTAGAAATATCGTGAATAAACAAC